AGAGGGTGAGGGTGGAGACCCACTGATTTCCCAAAATGCTCTGTCACAGCATCAGGAAGTCAAGATGAGAATCCACTCTTTAAGGCGGGGTTCTGAGTCTTCTGTAGGAAGATAATGGCTTCACCTAGGACTTTACAAAACCAAGCTGTGAAGCCGCCGCTGAGTGTGGGTTGTTGCGCCATCTGCTGACCACTTTGGGAACAGCCTCTTAAAAGTCCCTGGAATAGGCTACCGGGCTTCAGGGCCAACCCACGCTCTGGGGCTCCCAAACCATATTCTCCCAGTCTTGGTCATTGCCCCCCTGGTCCTTAACCCCGCCCCTGACCTGTGTGCCCGTATGGGGGATCATCTAAATGCAATGTACATTCAAATCCCTGCCAGTATCGGTGACGGATCATCTTTGGAAGACAAGAGTCTCTGATGACGGTCTGGGAGAGCAGAGGCTGTTAGGGTGAGCCTGTGCCGATATGTCAGGGTCCCTTACAAAAGAGGATGTGAAGACAACTGTGTAGAGACAGGCAGCAGGGAACGGCAGCCACAGGTAAAGGACACCCAGGGTGTCTGGCAGCACACAAAGACATGTGTCCTCGGGTGTCAGAAGGAGCCGCCCTCCACACGACCCCCCCCACACACATACACGACACACACACAACACTCCCAACACACACACACACACTGTGGTCTTGGTCATCTGGTCCCAGGAACCTCGATGCATGCCGCTTCCAACAAGCCAGCAGTTCGCGGTCTGTCCCGGCGGCCCCACCCACGTGTGATACAATGGGGTGCCCTTATTCCCGGTGAGAAAGCTGCAGACTTGGTAGTAAAAGTGAGACACATTTATTTCCACTTCAGCAGGAGCCGGGTGACAGTGGACAAAAGGCGGAAACGGCCGGTGTGCAGATTTATAACGCTGTGAGGCCACGGGTTTTGTATTCCCCAATCTGAAGGTTCCTGCCTGTTTCCCCCACAGGCTGGGGCAGAGTGTACAAGAACTCCCCGGCCTCCTCATTCCCCATCCTGCTGGGGCTGGAGATCCTCACCTTTTCTGATACACAGCCTCTGTCTTAAAGCAGATTGGTCTTTCAAACTCTGAGATGAACTACGGTTGTCTAGACAAGCAGGTTCCCGCAGTGTGCGCCCTCTGCTGGGCACAGGTGCCGAACATCTGCTCAGCTGTGACCATGATGATTTGCCTCTTACACCCTGGATGCGTGCATGCCACAGGAGGACATTTAACTGATCATCTGCCCACCCCCCGTCAGTTCTCAGCTGTAGGGATGCCCACTTCATCCCCCATATGCACAGAGACAGTAAGGGGCCAACGTGGGAATCTATGTCATCGTGGCTTCTCCTACCCATGTCCCAGAAACCTGGGCACTGTCAACTAGACTCTGTGAAGAGGCCACAATGTGAAAGGTCTTGCAGGCTCACTGACTAGCCCACGAGACTATCAAGAGACAGACGACGAGTCCACAGCTAAAGTGATCCAAGGCTACCACTCGCTCCTCGATCTAACCTGTGTCTTGGTGACTGTTAGAGCATTATTCCCACCAACCCAGGCACATGGCTGGCAACCCTGTGGGAGCAGACACTCAGGGACACCCTATATGGCTTTCCCCCAAGAGTTCTTCCTCTCTGACCCAGGGGCCTGGTAGTTTCTGCCAACACCCACACACCTGTGCCAGCCTGGCCTGTTTCTGCAAACGGGGCAATGTTCCTGGCAAACACTCCCTCGGTGATTATTGCTGTATCTCTCTCTCCTCTGTCCCCTCCCCCCTCCCTCTCTGTTTTTTTTTTTTAGACAGGGTTTCTCTGTGTAGCTTTGGAGGCTGTCCTGAAACTCTCTCTGTAGACCAGGCTGGTTCCGAAGGGTCAAAGCTCTAGCTGGCCCTGTGTTGATACGACACGATCTGCTGATGGACCGCCAAGGTTCAACCTGGTAAGCCAATGGGTTTATGGGGTTAGAGGGCTATGGGTGAAGGGTTACTTAGAACATGGACAATTCACAGGCAGCTGCATCACTGCCAGCCCACCCTGGCATGGGTCATGATCCTGAAAGCTAGACACCCTGCAGCTTTCTGAGTGGCTTGCAGGCAGCAAGATGGATAGGTGTCTCCTCTCTTTGGCAGCTCCTACAGCTTGTATAACCTTGTGAGGGACGGAGCTCTGCGCCCTGTCACCTTCAGGGCCTTCCTGAGTGTTAGTGAGTTTCCCTCCAGATTCCAGAGGGAAATGCTACACAGCAGCTCCTGCCCCATGAAACACGGAGGGAGGGGTAAAGCCTGGGCTGGAGAGATGGCTCAGAGGCTAAGAGTATACTGCCTGCTCTTCCAGGGGTCCCAGCAACCTCATGGTGGCTCACAACCATCTCTAAGATTTGCTACCCTCTTGGGGCCTGCAAGGATACATGCAGACACAACACTGTATACATAATAAATAAATCTGGCACAGGACAGCCCAGGTGATACACAGCAGGTGAGGTGGAAGGCTGTCCTCTGTAATTCCCGTCGTCATTCACTACAGCTACTAGCCCCAAGAGACACTCAAGGACGGGCCTACTGAGCATCCCACAGAGAGAGAGGGAGAGGGAGAGAGAGAGAGGGAGGAGAGGGAGGAAGAGAGGAGAGAGGAAAAGGGAGGAAGAGAGGGAGGGAGAGGGGGAGGGAGGAGGTGGAAGGAAGTCCTTAGGGTCTCACCTTAGATTCTGGCCACAGCCTTCCTTCCGGGACCCTCTGCTCTAATTCTGTCTCAGCCGTGTTCCTGGACAGAGCATTACAGTTCACAGAGTGTAAGGTAAACCGGGGGGGGGGGGGCACACCCATGTCGGGGCAGTCTGTTTGGTGATCAGCTGTGTGGGGGTTATCCACATTCCTACCAGCAACCAACCCCTCGTCTCTGCTCTGCAGCTGAGCCGAGTAAGCTTATTATTGTGCTCTCAGCTATTGTGTGCAGGACTGTTACTCTACTCTGTGGTTAGTGCCCTGTCTGGGGTGAGCACAACCCGGGAAAAGTTACACCAACACAGTGCTGGCACACTCAATGCTCCCAACACCCATAGGACACAGGACGGCCCCACCGCGACAAGGTCACAAAGGCACAGAGCTGTCGGGAGACAGAGGCACGGGACCAGGGCTGTCTGCCTGCTCCATACCAATAGGAGCACAGGAGGCTGGCAGGTGCTCACAGCCACACTAACTCAGGCAGAGGCGGCCCAGCACTCGCAGGGGCTGGCTGGGCTGGGGGCCTGGCTGGCAGGGGCGGGCTGGGCTGGGGGCCTGGCTGGCAGAGGAAGGCTGGGCCTATGTAAGAGGACGGGATGTGTGGGTGTGTTGGGCCCCCAGTCTAGAGGAGGAAGCAGAAGTTCTGAGTCACACTGCATGCTGTGCAATCTTAGCACTAAGGGGATCTCAGCACCTCTTGTTACTGCCAGGGCTGACATCCAGGTGTGAGTGACTAAGGGGGAATGCCGGTGGCCCCAATTAAGTCCCAGCTCCGAGAGGACCCAGGGACAGGTCTGGTTGGTTCGTGTATTTACATGGAGGGGCCCTGCTCATCGTCAGTGTTTGTCCTGTGGCTGCAGGCAACTTGCAGGACCACTCCAAGCCCATGTCCCAATCCTAGCCTGTACACGGTGCGGGGAACTGCACTGTGGTTAGAGAGCTCAAAGTACCAGACATAAGTGAGGGGCTGGCGCCACAAACCTCCCTACCAAGTGCAACTTCCACACACACCCGTGACACGGAGCAGTGTGGCAGGCGCAAACAGGACTGTAACAAAGCAGAGAAGGTAACAAACACGGAGCCCTGCTGAACCGAAGTCTCTCTCAGGACAGACAAGAAGTAAAAAGGCTTTGGGGACAAAGGAGTAAGAGGGGACAGGAAAGTCACAAATGACCACCGGGTGAGGATTTAAACTGTCGTGGATGTACAGCCCTTGGAGCCTGTGTAATGGAGGGGGGTATGGGGTCAGTCGGACTCTTGGAAGGACAGGAAACATGCCTACTATGAAGTGTTCCCATACACCATCCACTTAAAGGGAGCCATTACCCACCCCACCGTGAACCTGCTGGATTGGATGGAGTGGGCTAAAAGGGTGGGCGTCTCTTCCATGTAGGAGCTGCAGGGCTCAAGAGCATCCGACGGTGTTTTCTTCCTAATCCCTCAGAGCAGCACCGGCCTGTGATGTGGTAGCTTACTTGTGCGAATCGTGCCCAGTATGAAGAAACGCCTGACATCCTGCACACACCCTAGATGTAGTATCCAACCACCACCACCACAACCACAGTGCACACACCCTAGAAAGCCACAAACCCCAAGGTGGCCCTCGATGTCCACGTCCACACCTCAGGTACCAACATGCCCAAGGTACCCACCCAATACGCCCGCACCCAGGGGGTGTGCACACCGCAGCACCCTCCATCTCCAGTTGCCGCCACCCCACGCGCGCGCGCACACACACACAGGGACGCGCGCACACACACACAGGGACGCACACACACACACACACACACACACACAGGGACGCGCGCACATGCACACACGCACACGCACACACACACAGGGACGCACACACACACACACACACGCACACCACCTCGGCGCGCCGAACACCTCCGCGCAGCGCCACACTGCGAATCGCACCGTAACCTTGGGGAAGGTGAAGGGCGCGGAACCAGTGCGCGGACGGACGCGCCGTCGGGGAGACGCCCCTGGCGCCAGCCAGCCCCGCCTTCCGCGCGACTCGGTGGCTTCCCTTTCCCTGTCCTCAGCCAGGAACCGACCCGGCAACCCGCACCTTTCCCGTCCAGTAAACAGGAAGAGGCTCCGCGCGTGGCGGCTGCTTCCGGCCCGGGGCAGCAGCGATTGTGAACGGCAGCGCGCTGGAGCCAATCGCAGAGGACGGCCGGGGAAAAGCCAATCGCGAGGCGCGGCCGGCAAGACCCGGAGGCGGACCCGGGAGGCGGGGCCCGCGCGGTGCAGCCAATCGCGAGGCGGGCGAGGGGCGGGGCGCGGCCGGGCTGACGCCGGGGCGGCGGCCGCGTCCGTGGTGCCGGCGGGTGGCGGCGCGATGCTGCAGCTGCGGGACACGGTGGACTCGGCGGGCACAAGCCCCACGGCGCTGCTGGCGGCCGGCGAGGACGCGGGCGCGGGCCGGCCGGGGGCGGGCACGCCGCTGCGCCAGACACTGTGGCCGCTGAGCGTCCACGACCCTACACGGCGCGCCCGCGTCAAGGAGTACTTCGTGTTCCGGCCCGGCACCATCGAGCAGGCGGTGGAGGAGATCCGCGCCGTCGTGCGGCCCGTGGAGGACGGCGAGATCCAGGGGGTGTGGCTGCTGACCGAGTAAGCCGGCGCGAGTGCGCGTGGGAGCCGCGGGGCCGCCGGGCGGGGGGTCGTGGTGACAGTGACGGGCGTTCCCTCTCCCCTCCAGGGTGGACCACTGGAACAACGAGAAGGAGCGGCTGGTGCTCATCACCGACCAGTCCCTGCTCATCTGCAAATATGACTTCATCAGCCTCCAGTGCCAGCAGGTGGTCAGGGTGGCGCTCAGCGCGGTGGACACCATCTCCTGTGGAGAGTTCCAGTTTCCTCCCAAGTCGCTCAACAAGTAGGTGCAGCAGCGCACTACACGTCAGGGCCCCTGCGAACCCTGTAAGTGGTTTTGTTCCGCCCTTTTGTGAGCTAACGTCCTCATCTTGAAGAACCAGCGGAAAGGGTCTTAAAACAGAAAGAAGAGGGTGACTTCAGGGCGGCCCAGTACCTCCTTAAAAGTCCGTTACTCTGCCAGCACTAGGGCCACTTACCCGTTAGGATGTGTGAAGCCTAGCCCACTGTTAAAAGCCGTGTTGCGTGCTGAGCACTTCCCTCACCCGGTATTTTAACCCCTAGCAGGATGGGGACACAGGGTACATACATGTTCAGTCTCTTTCTGGTTGTTGTTTAAAAGCGATTGATTGGTTGATTGATTGGCTGACTGACCGTACTGAAAGCCGGATGGATGTATTGAAAACACCCAACAGCCAGTTTTTCAAGAGCTGGTCAGCTTGAGTAAACGGATGATGCTGAAGCTTAAGAGGCCCGCACCCGCGCCCACAGTCTGTGGAAATGTGAATAGGGAATCCAGGAAGCTAAGGGCTACAAGCTTAAGCATCACTCGGTAGCACATTAAGGAACGAACCCGTCCATAATTTGGCCAGATTGAACTGTGTGCCTGTTTCTTAGGCTGTAAACGAGGTTTAGCATCACCAAGGCATTAACTTCTTAAACTTGGGAAGTACTTGAAGCAGCGTGTGGAGACAGACCACTGTTAGGCTAAACCACGGCTTTCTCTGCCATCCCTGATGCTGGCCTCAGCGTTGTGGTAAGCAAGGCTTTCTTCCCCATCTCCCATCAGGCGAGAAGGCTTTGGGATTCGCATTCAGTGGGACAAGCAGAGCCGGCCCTCTTTCATCAACAGGTGGAACCCCTGGTCCACTAACATGCCCTACGCCACCTTCATAGAGCACCCGATGGCCGGCATGGACGAGAAGACTGTGTCTCTGTGCCATGTAAGCAGATCCGAGGGAGGCCCTTAGACCCAGCAGTGACGGGTGGGTGTGTCCTAGGCTGCATGGTCCAGTGTGAGCGCTTGGTCGCGCAGCTCCTGACATAATGGGGCCTCAGAACTGAGGGAGAGCCCCATCCTGCTGCAGGATGCTCCTTCTGGGTCGGGTGAGTTAGCGTCCTGGCGAGGGCTCTGCAGGTGCTGCTGGGGGTGCAGGTGGCTACTTGGGAGGGCAGAGGGCAGGCATGCAGTACATAGTGCAGTGCTTACCTGCATTCCAGACAGGTTATGGTAGGGCTGAGAAAGTCCTGTCGCTCAGTGACATCATAGTCCTCACGGACTTCTCCACCTGTGATGTCACTGTCACTGAGCACACAGAACACCAGTGTGTGCAGTCTGTGTTGACAGTGCTGTCAGGGGCCACCGTTTATCATTTCAGGACGCGTGGGTGTGAGAGTGTGTGTGTGTGTGTGTTGTGTGTGAGCGTGTGTGAGGGTGCGCGTGTGAGCGTGAGTGAGCGTGTGTGCGTGTGTTGTGTGAGGGTGTGTGAGAGAGCGCGCGCATGTGCGTGTGTGTAAAAGGGGTGCACTGCCTGTTGTGCTGGCAGCATCTTTAGTGACAGAGAGCAACTACCTGGACTCAACGCAAGTCCTGTCATGATGTCCACACAGGACGAGTCACCTGATGACATGGCCCTTAGCACTTGACCTGTTGTTGGAATGTCTGAGAATCCTCCAGTCCCGGTGTAGCGGAGTACTGTGGTCTACCTCCGGGCTAAGCTTCTGTGTTTATTCTCTCTTTAAAGTTGGAAAACTTCAAGGCTCTCCTGATCCAAGCTGTCAAGAAGGCCCAGAAGGAAAGCCCACTGCCAGGACAGCCAAACGGCGTGCTGGTGCTGGAGCGCCCTCTCCTCATTGAGACCTACGTGGGGCTGATGTCCTTCATTAACAACGAAGCCAAGCTGGGTTACTCCATGACCAGGGGCAAGATAGGCTTCTAGACAGCAGTGTCCTCAGGAAAACCAAGGTGGCGGGGACTCGGTGTGCATCCTCATGCTACCCACTGTGGTTGGAGAGAACACGAGCATTGTCCCTTTAGGTGTCTGATTAGAATAGTCAAGTGAATTATATATATTTAGTTGGATACTGGACACCTTGGCAACATGATATATGAAGGCAGACATACTGGCTGTCCCATTGCCACTGTGTTCGTTCTATAACTACACATAAATGTTTTCTCCACTGTCCCTACTGGGCTTGTCCTTCCTGCCTTGCCCGTCCAGCATGCTGAGCAGAGTGTACCCGCCCACTTGTGCTGTGTGGACCCTTAAACCCAGGGTACAGTACAGTGATTCTGGAGTCTGCACATGCGTTAACACACACTGTCAAGTTTTGTATTTTGAAATTCAGCCCATTTGTTAAAAGCTAAATACAACAGCAGTCAGACTAGTTACCAAGAAAGACAGCCTGCCTGGCAGCTCCTGGCAAAACTGCCCTTCCGTGAATGTTTGTCCTAAAGTTACTCTTTGTAAAATTAATCCAGGTTGTGTGAATACAGCACTTTTCCTAGGCCCAGAAGAGGTCAGTTTCATGACATAATCCAGCCCCTTCTGGAAGTTGTGTTAGTGGGTTTACATCATCCTGTCTCTGTTTAAAAGGGACTGAGTGGTTTGGTTTAAGAAGTGTATGTTTGTTAATAAACACACCAGCCTGCAGCCATGCGCGCGCGCACACACCACGGTGCCATCAGCCCCACTGAGCTTTGCTGACACTGAGCTTTGCTGAGCCAACCACACACAGCTTGCCCCTGTGGCTCTGGCACTTGTCAGTATAACTGTAGATGCTGGCCTGTCACTTGAAGCCTCTGCTGCAGCTTTACGTTAACCAGCATGGATGTGACTAGAATGTCAGGGCCTGTCCAAGCGGAAAGACGACCTCAGATGCTGCTGGTCTTTACCCTGTGCTTTCAGTCTTGCAGTAAAGACGTTGAAAACCAAATGAAGTTGCTCCATTTTGAAGTTACTATCACAAAAACAAACCAGAAAGACTTGGGGCCCCAAGGACTGAATGTGCACTGGCTGTGGGCCCTCCCTAGTAGACCTCTTTACAGAGACTCAGATGGACAAGTGCATAGCCAGGTTAGAATCCTGGTTTGCAAGTCCTAACACTGCTCTGGTCGCCTTCAAGGCATTTGCTAGAGACCTTGGAGGTGTGCTGGGTGGCTTCGACTCTTACCAGGAAGGAACGCAGGACTCCCTGCTAACTGCCTTGTCAGGCCAGAGACCTGCCCAACTGTTGTGGGTTCGCATCCCACATGGGAACAGGCACAGTACATCCTGCTGCAGAGGGGCTGGACAGGTCAGACAGGAGTCACCCTTGCTCCAGAGTGCTCTGAAAACAGCTCAGGGAACAGTCATAAGGGAGGTAAGTGGGTCACTTCAGGTTCCTCAACCCCCCAAGACAGGCCTTGAGGAAAATGATCACCAGTGTTCGGAAGATTAACAAATAGCTATTTTATATTACAACTTTATACATATTTACACAAACACCTTACTACATTGAACTGAGCACCGAGTATCCCGTCCCATCTGGAGAGCCTGCACAGCTGCTGCTTGTGTTGGGACCAGCAGAATCCGCTGCCTCAGTTTCCACTCAGGTCCTAGGCATGGCCATCCCTTTGTCCACAGGCTGTGCCAACCCTCTCCTTTATCTCCAGGAAGCAGAGACAGAAGTGATCCTTGCTAAGGAGGGCCAAGGAATCCCCACTTAAATGCCAGCACAGTCCAAGCACAGGAAAGTCACCTAGAGAGACAGGTGGTCAGAGTACAAATCAGGACCAGGGAGGAGCCTGGTAAGCCTGAGGCTGAAGCTGAGGCCTATAGAGCTTAAGACAGCACGTCCCTCACTGTACACACTGTAGGGCAGCAGGTTCCCTCTGCACACCGCAGGGCAGCAGGTCCCTCTCTCAGTGCACACTGTAGGGCAGCAGGTCCCTCTCTCTGCACACTGTAGGGCAGCAGGTCCCTCTCAGTGCACACTGTAGGACAGCAGGTTCCCTCTGCACACCGCAGGGCAGCAGGTCCCTCTCTCAGTGCACACTGTAGGACAGCAGGTTCCCTCTGCACACCGCAGGGCAGCAGGTCCCTCTCTCAGTGCACACTGTAGGGCAGCAGGTCCCTCACTGTACACACTGTAGGACAGCAGGTTCCCTCTGCACACCGCAGGGCAACAGGTCCCTCTCTCAGTGCACACTGTAGGGCAGCAGGTCCCTCTCAGTGCACACTGTAGGACAGCAGGTCCCTCTCAGTGCACACTGTAGGACAGCAGGTCCCTCTCTGCACACTGTAGGACAGCAGGTCCCTCTCTCTGCACACTGTAGGACAGCAGGTCCCTCTCTCTGCACACTGTAGGACAACAGGTCCCTCTGCACACTATAAGACAGCAGGTCCCCCTCTCAGTGCACACTGTAGGGCAGCAGGTCCCTCTCTCTGCACACTGTAGGACAACAGGTCCCTCTCTCTGCACACTATAAGACAGCAGGCCCCCCTCTCTGTGCACACTGTAGGGCAGCAGGTGTCCCTCTCTGTGCACACACCAGGCAAGGCCCTGCAAGGTTGCTGAAAGACATCGGGGGAGGTGGGATGTCACTGCTACACACGGCAGTGGGTTTAAGCAGGTCAGCCTGTGCAGAGCCACTATGTCCCTGTCTGCAGCAACATGCTCACCTTCCCCAGGTACCTGCACCGACACACAGCCTGCTGGGGACCACAGGTACACCTTGCTCCCTCCTGTACAGATGGCCAGCCGTGGCTGCTGTGGGTCCCACTGAAATGAGCGCACAGGAGACATGTGCTCCAGGACCACAAACAGCTTCAGCTTCTGAATGTCCCAGACCCAGACAGCATTAGGAACATTGTCTGCAAGGAAACAGATAGGGCACCATGTCAGTGCTGGCCCTCTCCGAGCAAACCCCGGCTCAAAGGGTGCACTGGATTTCTTGCTCAGGGACCTGGCACCCAGAATGAAGAAAAGGCCTCCAAAGGTCACATGCCCCCTTTTTTTCCATGTAAAAGCATGCAAATAAAACCAAAAACCAGACCCATAGTGGCTCCTGCTGGACCCCTCTCCTTGCACAATGAGAAGGCCTGCAGGAGGGAGTAGGCAGTCAGCCTGGGCACGGGCTGACTAGCAAGGAGCTGCTGTGCAGAATGTCTACTCAGCAGAAAACCAGGGGACCATAGCACATAACTACTCTCCTGAGCTTCACTTGTCCGATCATTTCTACTCTTGGCATCAAAGGGCGCAGGGAGCAGCTGATCCTGCCTGTGAGTGTTGCTGGGTGTTTTCTAGTCCTGCAGCTGCCTTGCCCCACAAAGACATACATTAATTCATTAATTATAAAACTGTTGGCCAATGATTAGGGTTTCTTACTGGCTAGCTTTGTCCTTTTTTTTTTTTTTTTTTTTTTTCCCCTTTTGGTTTTTTCAAGACAGGGTTTCTCTGTATACTTTGGCTGTCCTGAAATTAGCTCTTGTAGACCAGGCTGGTCTCGAACTCAGAGATCCACCTGCCTCTGCCTCCCATGTGCTGGGATTAAAGGCGGGCACCACCACCACCCAGCTTAGCTCTGTTTTAATTATTAACCCGTTTCTATTAATCTATGTATTTCCACGTGGTCTTGACTCACTGGAGAATGTCTTGACCTTCTACTCCTTTGTTGACTACATGGCGATTGTGTTTGGCAGGCTCTCTTACCTTTCCCAGAATTCTCCTTGTCCTCGTCCCGCCTATCTTCCTGCCTCATTAGCCAGTGTTTTATTCATCAACCAATAAAAGAAACATACACAAGAAGGCCATCCCCCATCATATGAGTGTGACACTGACCGTTTCTTGTTGCCAGGAAGTAGCTGTCAGAACTGAAAGCCAGCATCCCTATTCCCATCCTAGGGTTCGCTCTGTCAGCTACCGGCTTCAGAGTCTGCAAGGAGACTGGCCCAGAGGCGACCTCATCTGGAACACCAACATGGAAGACATGCTGAGGGTACTGGTTAAAATGGGGGAAGAGGCAAGCAGACAGGGAAGAAATCATGCCAGGAAGTGTGGGACAGATTTGCTGGCTAGAGGCTTAAAAATCCAACAGCTGTGGTAGGAGGCCTGCTCACAAATTCCCTAGGGGACAATAGTTCCGCTGCCGAGAAGGCCCCATGCAGTCTAGAGCCCCAGTGGAAGGGCACACCAGGCTTAGGTCTGCTTTCTGGCAGGTCTACCCATTTCCAGTATCTCTGCAGGCGGCCACCCTTTTCCAGCTGGGAGCTGAAGGGAGATTATCAGCCAGCAGAAGATGACAGATAAACACCAGCCAGCGTGACAGCACCTCTCAAGCCTGGCTACCCTCAACCCCCCAAGCCCGCATTGGCTGGCTACTGTGGCCTCACATCTTCACTCTGAAGTCCCTGCAGAGCAGGAAGGGGAAGCTCTGAGTCCTGTTCCAGAAAAGACTAGGCCTATTTGCTCCTATCCTCCCAAACCCCTCTGAGGTCCATTCAGAGAATTGTGTCTAAAAGATGCCTTACAGGGCCAGGATTGTTAACTCAGTCTGCTGTGACAGGTGGGCTGAGGCACAGGGACTGGGGGGCAGTGTGGGAAAGGTGACCTCAAATCTCAGAATCTCCCCGACCCTAACCAACAGCACCCAAGATTCACGAGGACAGAATTCTCATCTAAGAAAGAACAAGCTTTCTCCCACAGAAGACAGAGCCCTCTGCCGCTTACATTTGCTCTCTGAGGTAGAGAGGGCACCAGCCATTGCTCGGGGTGGTGGGAAGGACAGATGGCCCAGCCCCAGCTGTGGGGTCTTCTCAGCTTCCTTATACACAACCTGAAAAATATGATGTGGCCACTAACCAGCTTGACGAGAACCAGGGGCTCAAGGGGCGGTGGCCCAGCTTAAGTGCCAGACACCACGGCCACTGGGAAGCTGCAGCACCATTGCAGTGTCTGGGCCACTGCAGCGAAAGACAGCTCAGCTGCCACCTCGATCCTGCTGGCCAGGCTGTCCACTAGACATGGGCACTGACATGGCTGCGTATGGTGAACAATGTCACAGCTAAGCAGACAAGGGCCCAGTGAGTAGCAAGGCTGTGGGAGCAACAAACAGCCAGGCCTGACAGTCTTGCTGCTAGCGTGGATCTTGAAGGCCATGAGTTGGGGCTTGGCTGCCAGCTTGGGGCTGCCGGTAACTAACGGT